TCATGAATAAACTATTATACAATAATTGGTGCATGGTCATTTAAATTGAGTTTAAATATGAGAAACATCTCGAAACGTGACAAACAATTGGTGACATTAGTGTGTGTTATGGGAGTCCTATACCTGATGGCCCAACTCATCGCACACTACATCGGCGGCCGGCCTATAGTGAAGGTAGGGTTGGCTCGACCACCGGCCCTCACCTTACGCTACCGGCTCGTAGAGCGCCCGACTCCGGTGCCTAAAGGGGTGTTCACGAAAACACCAGTCCCTGTGCGCGAACAGAGGTCTCGTATTGTGATAGCACCTACACCTAAAAGTATTACTATTATAACATTACAGACCTATGTTTGGCAGCAATACTGCGATTCTGGTACTGATTTTCATGTCTTAATTCACAGATCCAGTCGTCCATCAGCTGTGAAGATATGTCTGTCCACCGACTCTTGAGATCAGTTCTTAACGTCAAATCACGGCCTGTATTGGCAGTGACGGCCTATTTATGAATGACATCCCATTATTTTAAATTTGATCATATATACAATATATTGATTAATAATTTTTGATTTTTATTTTTAAGTTTTCCACGCATTTGTCACTATATTATTGATTTAGAAAATATAAATCATTTGTTATTAATGAACTGTTAAATAATAAAGTTTATGATAATATGATTTTAATTTGTATTTGAATATAATTGCCATCAATTACACATTTATATTGATTAATGGATTTATATTGATTAGTATTAAACAATGGTTATTGATATCTAACTAATTTGTTGCGAATATTATTATTTTCAAACAATTCCTACAAATAGTAAATCAAAATAATTTTCACAATTCATTCATTCATTCATTCATTCATTCATTCATTCATTCATTCATTCATTCATTCATTCATTCATTCATTCATTCATTCATTCATTCATTCATTCATTCATTCATTCATTCANTTCATTCATTCATTCATTCATTCATTCATTCATTCATTCATTCATTCATTCATTCATTCATTCATTCATTCATTCATTCATTCATTCATTCATTCATTCATTCATTCATTCATTCATTCATTCATTCATTCATTCATTCATTCATTCATTCATTCATTCATTCATTCATTCATTCATTCATTCATTCATTTGACGGCAAATTGTGTCTCATTTGATAAATCTGTTGGTCATTGAAGTGGATCTCAGGTCTACCACTTTGACAGACCGTAAATGCACTCAATTTAGCACTACTTCTCATAATAAATGCCTCGAAATCCGATTCATTGTATTTGTTGTCTTCATCGGTGGTAGAGATGAAGAGCACCTGTAGTTTCCGGTGATTAGTCTCAATGGCGGCCAATAGTGTGTCGTATAATCGCCACAAACCGAGTGTTAAATGAGTCAATCGTTTGCAGTCATTGATGGCATCAAACATATGATAATCGGTGACCACTTCGGCATCGAGTGTCAACCATAACTGCAAATCCAGTCGATGTAATCGCGGCATAAATTTCATGGCATTCATGACATCGACGTTCAGTTTCCATGAGTTTGACGTAAATATCAGTGAAAATCGTGTCAAATGCCGACAATTAGTGCCGATTGTAACCAACGAGTCGTACAGCGAGTACTGGGCGGAGGGTTCGGCGTACGACAAATCAAGTGTCAGTTCCCGGAGTTGTGGTAATCCCGCGATTTGTGCCATCAATCCGATGAAAGCTCCCATCGATAGCGATGTCCAATACAACACATAAAGGCTTTTCAGTTACTTATTATTGGCGACAATAGTGGCGAACATATCATTAGACAAGTCATCCGTTATTGTCATCTCAATTGAGACTAAATTCTAAGCCATTAGTCGATTGTCTGGAGTGAAGACATCAGTCAATGAGCCTTTAACTGAAAGGTGACGCAAATGATGGCATTCCTCGAGGTATTGGAGGTTTTTGTGTCGGACTCCGAGGTTCAGGAGTTTTGGCGCAAACTTTTGAATCCAATTAATGACCAAATCGTCGATAAAAGCAAAACAGAAGTCAATTCGTGTGAGACGTCGACAGTAATCATCGGACAGACCATCGATGGCCTCCAAGAGTTGTCTCACATCTGATTCATTGCTTATATCACTGATATGATCGCAATCAATGGTCTGAATGTTGGGACACTTCTTGAGAATATCAGTCAATATATGGGTTCCAAAGGATCCACACTTTGCGCTCATTTTGGCAAACAGTGTGTCAGTGATAGTGAGGACTTTGATAGATATGTGAAGACATCTCTGGAACTGTTTGGACAGACATTCCCTTCGGAAGTGCTCTTCAAATGGCAGATAAGACAGTAATAGTCGACACAAATCATCACCGAATCGATCGAAAGAGTCTTTGCTATGGATTTGATCCAAAAATACATTCATTTCTATACTTTTGACACCAATTCAGAGATATTTCAACAAAACCTGAACTCAAGCGAAGACTCAGAGGAAGGGGTCGTCTGTGAGTCCAGTATTGATGTCTTCATTCGTTTAGCCATCTCTTGACTACCGGTGCTGTCCTTCGCATCAACTGATCCATTGGTGACCGCATTGTCTCCACTCATGTCTTCATTGACTGCGAGAACTGAAAAGAGATATCATTTGAGACACGAATTGAATGTTCGATGAGTTGAGACCCGAAGAGTCGCTTCCAATCGCTTCCATGTCTTCAATGTCTTCGAAATGATCACAAAAAACACAAATAATTTGAAAACACTTTTCACTCAATGTTTGCAAACAATCGATACAATCGTTACGATCGATACCATCGATATGTCGGTCATTACCTACAATACACACCCGTTATAGTGAACACTATTTCATGAAATATTCATTAAAATTGCAATAAAATTGTTATATAAATAAATTTATGAAATATTATTAATATTATGACCATGCATATAAATATCAATTTGAATTATTAATTCTCATAAATCATTTTAGTTAATTTTTTTAGACCTTGTTATTAATATGCTGGAATCTAATTAATATTGAATGAATACTTAAGCTTGCTAACTTATCAAATAATATACAAATGACTAATTCAATTGCGAATAATATTAATAAATTATTGATTAATTGACTGAAACTAATTTGCAGTAATAAAAAACAGCTAGCTAATTTGCTGTGAATATTATTATTTTAAAATTATTCCTACAAATAGTAAATCAAAATACAGTACATTGTGTCCACAATTTTACACTATTTTACAATAATCGGTGTAATAAGGTCATTTAAATTGAGTTTAAATGTGAAAAACGGTGCAAAACTTTGCTTAACATTAGTATGTGTTTCGGGATTCCTATACCAGACGTCATAAGTACAGTGACCAACCGTCCAGGTTTGACCTGGACTGCCCAGGAATTATGGTATCTGTCCAGTGTCCAGGACAAGGTCTCACCTGGACCATGTAATGTCCAGTAATTGTACTAAAGAAATGTTAACAAAGATTAATATATTATTAAGTAAAATGAATAAATTAATGATAAAAATATAAGCTTTAATAATCCGACACATATACTCAGATATACTGTATATCTCATACTTTATATAACAAATTGTGTAATATTGGTATATTATTATCATTATTATAATTATCATTTATTTTACATAAATTAGTAGCTACTATTAACACGACTATTAGTTGACTTATATTGTAAGTTTATAATTTGTTGATATATTCAAGGTGTTGTTTGATATATCTGTTGTACAATACAATATTATTGGTAATTTTAAAATTTAATTTACATTTAATTCTTTTTATTTTAAATATTAATTTAATATATAGGTATAATAATATGAGGTATATTTAAATTTAAGCTAAATCTATATACTGAAGTATTAAAATTGTTTTATCTATATTTGTTATGTTAATTCTGAATACAAATTAAAATAGTATATACCAAATATGGCTTTAAAACATATGTCCAGGATTATCCAGGAATTTTACGAAATATTTACCTAAAAACCAGGATTTTAAAATTTCGAGTTGGTCACACTAGCGGTAAGTGTTGTGAAACTTGCGCTTATATTGTAATATTCACAAATATCATTACAATTTTTAATGTTATTATTGAAACTTACGAGTAACTAACTATAAAACATTTTTATCTATACAGTAATAAAATTATGATTTTTGTCTGTATAAATTCAAATTATTTAAGGCAAAAAAATAATTGCTTTAAGTTGTTCACTCATTAATGTATAATATTATTTGCGAGCATAAAATTAGAATGATAGTTTTAAAATGTGATGAAATTGATTACGCTAGTTTAACCTTGACAGTCTGGTATATGTCATAAAAATTTATAAATAAAAGTATATAATTTGTTACATTAATCAATTCAATGACTCTCAATGTCAAATAAAAGATACAATGTTAATAACTAATTTTAATAGATTTTTTTGCACTGATATATAAAAACACATTAAAAGCATATTTGATTTTAAAAAGTTTACATGTTTTATAAGTGTTTATTTTATTATAGTTATCAAATAAGTTTCATACTTTTAAAAATGAATTTGTTAAATTAGTTTGCTGTATATATATATTGTTGAATGAATATTACTCGCAATATAGACTCAGCCGTAATATAAATTTGACAAAATGTCCGTAATTTTATTTACGACAAAATGTTAATTTAAAAATAATTAGTACATTAATTGGAAACTCTGATACTGTTGTGATCATTATTTATCAATTCAAACAATTGAACACCAAAACAGTGATTATTAATTATAATTAAGTCATTAATTGTTGTTTTTCGTGAGTAGTGTTTGTGACCAAAATGTAAACAACAAACAATTTACTCATTTTAATCACAATTATGCCACAAATGAGCACTATTTATGGTAATAATCTTATAGTGCGAACAACAAACTATCATTTAAGCCATTTATCGCTAAATAATTGTCATTAGTTTTAAAATTATTTAACTTTTGGTCCGTTATTTAAAGCGCCGCAAAAGTGTTTTAACAATATAGTATATTATTTTGTAACAGTTAAAAATCCGCTATTATATACAATATATCCTGTTTTAATAAGTTAAACAACACGTTTTACTACAATGTCAAAAAATTAATCACTTTAATATCAAAATAAAAATAATATTAACATTATACTTTAATAATCATAAATATACAAAGTTAAAAATATAAATAAATAAATAAATCCATACATCATAATAAATAATAATAATAATAATAAATCAATAAGATGTGGCGCATTGGCAAAGTTGAAATCGTGCCCATAACCCTGTCATCAATGGCCGTAATACCGAAAAATCTAGCGCTAAGTATGGAGTCACTGGAAATCA